TCCCTGTTGCATTGTTCCACTGCAAACACCTTTCCCTTCCCTGTCCTTCCCCTATGAACACCTGCATGCCTGTGGGGGCAAGGCCTGGGACCCCAGCCTTTGTCCCAGGAGAGGATGACCAAGATGTGAGGCAACAGATGTTCGCAATGCATTGTGCAGCTCTGCAGTTTAGATGGGGTGGAAATGATACAGTCTCAAAGCAGGAGCTAGCAGAGCTGTGTGAAACTGAGGTTTCAGTAACTCAGGAGTCTCCAGTCTTTTTTTACATCCTTCTTTGGCACTCTGTGAATGTATATCGCTTAACAGCAAGACAAAACCTGAAGCCTTGTTTAACCCTTGGACATGTTACCAAAGTCTTGTCAAGCTACTTCCTTCTGAAAATCTTTTTTTTTTCCCCCTGTTTTAATTGCCTAATTCCACCCAGCAGTTTTCTCTTTTTCATTGTTACCATGAGTAAACCATTTGGGACTTAAAAGTCCTCCAGATATCTGACTCAACTGCATGTTATCTAGAACCTCGAAAACCTCTGGACTGTTTCAAGTCACCTCTTCCTCAGGTCTGTCTCCTCCTCTACAGCACAAGCAGTTGACCCTTGCTGGCATCAGCCTGAGCATTTAGCAGGAGGAACCATCCAAAATGCTCTGATAGGTAGCTTGGGGCAGCTCATTTGTGTCTAACTTGAGAAGGATAGGACAATTAAGTATCAGAATTAGGAGTATTCCCATCCTTTTTATTTAGCCAGAGAAAGAAGTAGATCCCTGTAGTGGGTTGACCCTGGTCAGATGCCAGGTGCCCACTAAAGCCACTCTCTCACTCCCCTCTGCAACTGGGCAGAGGAGAGAGAAAAAAAAAATAGCTAAGGTTTCATGAACTGAGATAAGAGCTGGGAGAGGTGACTTACTGATCACCATCACAGACAAAATAGACTCGAAGTGGGGATATTGCTTAAATTTATAACTAACAGAATCAGAGCAAAAGAGTGAGAAGTAAAATAATCTTAAAAACCCCTTCCCCCACCCCTTCTTCCTTCCAAACTCCACCTCCTCCCCTCCAGCGGTGCAAGGAGACGGGGAATGGGAGTTGCAGTCAGTTGTTTTTTCTGCCGCTGCTCAGAGAGAGGAGTCCTTCTCCTGCTCCTATGGGGTCCCTCACACTGGAGACAGTCCTTCACAAACCTCCCCGGCATGAGTACATCCCATGGGCAATCGTTCTTCACAAACTGCTGTCCCGTGGGTCACTTCTCCATGGGGTGCAGTCCTTCACAAATGAGCTGTACTGGCATGGGTGCCCTACAGGGGCCACAAGTCCTACCCAGGAAAAGCCTACTCCAGTGTGGGCTCTTCTCTCCACAGGCTGCAGGTTCCTGGCAGGATCCTGCTCCATGTGGGCCTCCCACAGGGTCACAGGGTCCTTCAGATATCCATCTCCTCTAGCATGGGCTTCTCCATGAGCTGCAGGTGGGTCTCTGCACCTTGATGTTCCTCCATGGGCTGCAGGGGCACAGCTGCTCCACCATGGTCTGCACCACGGGCTGCAGGGACTCAGCTCCAGCGCCTGGAGCACCTCCTCCCCCTCCCTCTGCACTGACCTTGGTGTCTACTTTGTTGTTCCCATGTCCTCACTCTGCTCTTCCCTGGCTGGAATTTTCATCTGTGCAACAACCTTCCATTCTTAAATATGTTAGCACAGAGGCATTACTATTGCTCCTAACTGGCTTGGCCTTGGCCAGCAGCAGGAGGACCATCCTGGAGCTGGTTGGCATTGGCTCTACCAGACAGGGGAAGCTTCTAGCAGCTTCTAATAGAAGCGCCACTGTAGACCCCCACTACCAAAACCCAGCCACAGAAACCCACTACAATCCCCTAAGCTCAATTCCTTGCAGAATCTATTTCTCCTCACTGAAATATGGAAACTGAGGGAAGTTTGCAGTTCTGAAGGTGTGTATTAAGACCCTGCCGCTAAGCAGTATGATTATCCTGCCTGCCTTCTTCCACAGTTCATACATCCCATACAAGTTCAGGCACCCATAAACATTAGTGGATATCATTCATTCATGGCTGGGCTTAGCGAACGAAGATTTGGGAAGGGCTCTACCCACGTTTGTTGCAAGCGCGTTGATCGGTGGATATAACAAGGGATTTTCTTGCATAGCTAAGTGCCTTCACTGGTGCATTTTTCTCTCTGAGCTGAAAGCATGCCGTGGCATTCAGAGATCATTACAGGGTGCAATGTGTTGTTACCCGATGCTAGCAAAACAGAGGTGCAGACTTTTGTAACACTGTCTCTTTTTTTTTTTGCACACACTCATCCTCTGTGGAGAATTTTCATTGCATCTGCTACTGGCAGTGTCTTGGTGTCTCTGTTATCTTTACGAGGTGCACAAAGTGCAGAAAGCATGTGAGTAGTCAGCAGCTTAAGTGGCATAGAAAGTTTTTCAGCTGCCTGTTGCTGGAAGCTCAGCAGCCCTCACAGGGTTAACCCATAAGTGGGCAGGGTTAACCCATAAGTGGGCTTCTGTCGTGTCTTGACACAAATCGGAACTTTGCCAAAGAGCATTAATTAAATTTCATGCTTTCCATCAGACTTATTACCCTACCAGCTCCCATACTGACATGGGCTATTATTATTGTTATTACTTTACAGTTAGTGTGTTGTTCCCTAACCACCATTAAATAAGACTGGAGAATGTTTCTGAGTTAATACCTTAAGACTAGGCTAAACTATACAAAGCACTGAGAATTATAGAAGAAACATTTATTTAGGGGTCAAAGTACTTTTGCTATGTTAAATTTTTTAGGGACATGCTTCTTCCCAGCTGTGTCTTAGTTTTTCTAGACTTGAGGAATGCCTTGATCTGTCAGCATTTCAGAAAGGGGAGGTATATTTTTAGGGGAAAAGAAAATGAAATGATTACTACAAGAAAATGTGTGGTAAAATATTTCTGAAATGTTTAGAGGAAAACAAACTGTTGAAAATATGCAAATTTACCCAATTCTTGCCTTAGATGTATATGATTTTTTCAGTTGTTGTTTAAACATTATGTCATTAATTCAGTGCAGCTATGTGAATCTATTAGGATCTGCTACCATGGATTATTTAGCCTGATGATGGATCTCAGAGAGTAAGACTGTAAATAGGAGTGTACACTTGTTCAGACCTTTGCAGTGCATCCTCAGACCTGTGAGAGCATCCTCGTTTTAGGTGATAGAAGTTGCTGAGAGAGATCACAGCGCTATGCTGAGATTAAGTAAACATCATTCAAATCCCTGCTTCCCATACCGTGAAAGCATATCGGAACAAATATACCAAACTGTCCAGCATTTATAGACTTTAGTAATATGGAGTGTTCATTAAAGACTGTCTGCTTTAGGACTCTTACCCTGTGCTACTTTCAAGCTCTGTGTGGACAACTGTCCTACTTTTCTTTTGTTGGGTTGTGCAAAAATCAACTTGCATTTTGCCTTGGGAAAGAGGCTGGATTTCTATTTGCTTAGCCCTAAGACTTGTGCAGAGAAAGCAAGTTTGTCATGTATCTGTCATGACATTATCTAGATAATTCCTTTTGATAAGCAGTATCATTTTTCTGGAGCAGTATTGAAGAGGACTTTACCCTGGAGTGAATTGAGAACAGCTGATATGGTTGGATAAATACTTAAATTATGCCTGGTACCAGGTAGATGCTTTCCATATGAGAGACGATCTATGGTCTTTGATTGTAAAAAATGTCTCAGGTTACTTAAAAAATTATTCTCCAGATCTGATATTTTAAAGTTGTCTCTTTTTCCAAATCTGGCCATTAATACATTCAGAAAAAGAAGGTATTTGTGTTAAAATACAGCACTGTGCAGAGGGAGCTTAGAAACAAACTTGTTTCTTTCACAGCAGCTACACCACTATTTCTGAACTCTGTGGCTGGATTGATGTTTGGACCCCATCATGGCAAACACAAAAGCTTCAGTGGACTGCAAAAGCCAAACAGAGACATCGCGTTCCAGCAGAAAAAAATTCAAACTGTGGTTGCAACCCACAACTCCCTTCCTAATGAAGTATTCTGCCATTGTCAAACAATTGTGAAACAAAAATCCTACAAAATACAGGGCATCTAAGCCCAGGATTTCTCTGTACCAGTATTAGCATTGCTGCCACTTGCTTGAGCACTGGTAGCAGATTAACTTCCAAAAATGCCAGTATGGACAAAGCGGTAGAAAGCACTTATTGTTCAACTTGAATACACACCTCAAGGTGCCCTAAGAAAGCTAAGTGAGTCTCCCTACTTTTCCTTCTGCTCTTGAACTCCCTGCCATAGCTTTGCTCTTTCCTGAATCCACACTCACAGCCCCATATATGTGCAGAACAGGTGGTACGTGAGACTGGAGGAGCACACCGTTGATACCTTCTGTGAGTTAGGGGGCTGGTGACATACCAAGGTGAGGGAGCAACAACAGCCCGCACACTTATCCATCACCTCTGACCCAGGTGCAAATGCCACAGCTGTAAGAGCTTTTGTCAAAGGAGAATGAACAACTGGAGAAGCAGTCTTCCCAGCTCCTAGAGTGTTATTACACATCTTGTATTTTTTCTAAACTGCAATTCCTGGAGGCAAACTACACAATCTGAGGATTTCACATGTCATTAAAATTACATGCATACAGACTCACACGTACAAACATTCTCAGGTGTTATGTTGGTGGAGCAAAGCTTGAGAATATGGCCAAAAAAAAAAAAAAAAAAGCCTAACTCTCTGGACAAAGAAAAAGAAAAGAGTTTTTTTAATTATTTAAACATTGTGAGCCAGTCTCACAATTTCTCAGCATTTGAAGCTGGCAATAATTTATATTGCTAGGTACATGCCTTAACACAGGTAGGACTTGTCTGCTGGAGAATCTGAAGGCAATATCTTTTATGGTCACAAAGCAGCCTGCCAAGTTGTGCTTTTACTCTCTCTCCCATTTCCTTACAGCTCTCTGATTCTTTTTTCCCATGTCCTTTTCTTTCCTCAGTACTCCCCTCAGTCATCTACCCTCCATCTCACAAAGAAGAGAGAGGCTTGTGAATTTGTTATACTTTGTGTTGGAGCATGGGCAAATTCTGGAGGATCAGGCGAGCTTGTTTTCATCTTTTATGAGCAGCACCTCCCTCCCTCTGTGCTGCAGCCTGTGGTGACACTGACCTCTGGTGATCACGTAAGTAACACACTGAAGTGACAGAGCTGCAATTTTGAAGTATGGTGGGGTTTTTTACCAGAGAAGTGTCTCCTCTTTGATGAGACTAGATTTTTCAGTGTGTTTTGCACTATGAAAGACAGACACAGGTACATCTTCTGTGGGCTTGCTCCTACTCTGGTACGTGGGAATTATCACAGTTCTTCTGTTACTCAAATACGTTTTATACACTTCTCAAAATACTTATTGCGCACGATAGAGAAGTTTATCATCTGTCACACTATTTCTTGAAGACTGACTTACATATTATGTTTCTCAGGAACCTTAATTACTAAAAAGTGCTGAATAAGGCTGTGGCCCATGCAGAAGTGACACCGTGCAGCCTCTTGAAGCATGCTTCCGTCTCCGTGATTTCTCCTTGCATTTGCCAAACATGACATTAACTCCACTGAAGTGAACAGAAACCAGATCTCCACCCAGGCTATTTTTTGTCCATCTAGCCAAGAAAAGCAAATAAATCCAGGGCTAAGGCTGCAAGTTTTCAGTTGCTCATTTTAAATGTACTCTATTGTATTGGAATGATCTCAGCACAGTGATGTTACAGAATTAAATATGTGCTGCAGACCTTGGCAAAAGTGAGCACTGAGTTAATGAAAAGAGTTTCAGCTTGACATTCGTCTATTTTGTAACCTTAATTCCTCTCTAATTTATTCTTTGGAAATTTTAGAGCTCACTCCCATGCAGATAGAGTGCGAGAAAATATTATGTTGCTTATTAATCATTAGAGTAATGACACAGGTATTGGAAAGCACAATTTGAATGAACTTTAATTAAAAATTATGATACCTTCATTACGTAAGCAATGCTTTTCGAACATCATCCAATACTGCTGTAGCCCAGTAGGTACAAACAGTCCTTGATCTTTAGGATAGCTTAAAATGCAAGGAAAAGAGGAAAGGATTAATTAAAAGCAAGCTATTTAAGTAAGTAAAAAATTGTTTTCTGTAAAAAAACAGATGGCAAGGTGTCAGGTTAGATGAAAGATATAGACAGCTAGATACTAATCCCCTTGACTGTGTGTTTAACTTTTCTTCTGTTGATAGGTTTGCCTGAGTAGTATTAAAACATTTCATGAATCTACTTTAAACACTACTTTACTGTAGCAGAACGAAAATGAATGCCTAGCAGTCTGCTCTATGCTTTTAACAAACAGATTTCATTTATTCCTTTGAACCAAAAAAAATTAGAAGGACCTAGGGGTGTCTGATCATTTGCCCAAAATTAATGATCAGTTATTGAATAATTAACTGTCATTGATATCTCATTTCTAAACAAATCAATGGACCCATTTAAGTGTTTGTGTAATGATAGTAGTGTAATCCTTCCTCGTACGAACTGCAAGTGAATAGACCAAAGAGAAAAAGCACATTCTCCACCCGAAGTAATTGAGACCTACTTAAAAATCATTTGCTTCAGCAGAAATGTAAAGTATTTTTCTGCATAATTTACCTCCCAAATGTGTGCATTTGGCTTCCACATTAAAAAATGAACCCTGTGTGAGTGAAGGTAGTTCTCCAACATCTTGAAATGTGAGAGCATGGGTGTAGGTGATATTTGTAAAAGCGTGACAAGGCACCCACAGTCAGGGTGTCTGAAGGACCTGTGGAGCAGGGTATCCAGGGACTGTCCCACCAGTCAGGGACTCACAAGGGGCATTACGCGACTCATGCAAACAGACTTGCAGAAGATGAGGTCAGGGAGGGAACATAAGAGGCAGGTCAGTGGGGTTCGTTAATCTCTTCCTCCCGACTGTGCACTGCTTTCCTTCCCACCACCCAGCACTGCTCTTCGAAGCAAGGCAAACAGAGTGTGGTAATCTAGAATTTAAATCGAAAGGACTCTCTTTTAAAATACTATAATGTGTTTGTAGTACATGAACAAAATTGCTGTCACCAAAGAAGATAGCTTTATAGATGACTCCATCCCTGTATTTTTGAAAATATTCTGGAGTGTCAAATACAACACTTTACGTTGATTGTCTTAATAAACAGCAGTGGCATCTATGCGCTTCAGGAGGGTGTAAAGGGGAGGGAAGTGCTGCTTATTTCAAGGCATAAGTAGAGAGGAGTATAAAACTATTCAAACCAGGAATTATTTTAAAATGTAATTCAGTTAACTTAGAACATTGTGGACTTACCCACTGCTAACTCTTCAGCAAGCAGGATAGTGAATGCTTGAAGCAGAATCATTTATTAGTATTATGAAGAGATGGCATTTTGAGTATTTAGTGGGAAATCTGTGAACGTAACAAATGCCACAACTGGAAACAGAAATGTTTGCTTTGTTATTTCAATGAGTGTTTAAACAATAGCAGCAACAATGACTCAAAGCAGAAAAAATCCAAACTATGGGACTGAAAATCTTAGTGTACAGCTATATTTAAAATAATAATAATTATATGGGTAAACGAATCCCAACATCTAGTTATTTTTGCTTTCACTCGTTTGCTCCCACCTTTTGGCAACAAGCAGTTCTTCAGATTTGCTACTAGATATTGCTGAAAGACCTCTATTCCCACTCTTCTGGAACAACAGTATCTGAACATTTCCCAAGAAGGCTGAGGCACATTCTCTGCCTTAGCTGTCCTAAACATTCCTCTGCCTTAGTTTTAATATGCCACCAAATTTTGCCTCAGTTTGTATTTGTGAGTTTTCTAAGAGAACAGGCAGAGTCAGTAAGGGATTAGAGGGAGCACAGATTTCCCTCCTGTCCAAGCACAGTGTTTGTGTTTTGTCTTGGTTTTGAAGAAGGTTTATGTTCTGGAACATGGCTGTCTTCTCCTATTCTGCTGAATTTACCAGCTGAAATGTGACAAGAGTGTATTTTAAAATGTTTGTGAGCTTCTTTTTCAGTGAAAAGTCTGTAGGTCTTTCCCAGCCTTCCCAAATGTGAATATATCTGAGACATATGCCAGCATATTGGATATTTTTATCTGTTGCAGAAATTAGATTAAAAGCAATATGCATTTATGTCTGAATGCACTTCTGAGTGTGGAGTAAGCTGTGGGAGTGGGGATGGTCCTTGTAAAAAACTAGAGAAGGGGAGGGCTGCTGGGGTTTAGTTTTAGCAGGTGACCTGCTGCTACAGAGTTCCATTTGTGATCATTTGATATTGGGAAAATTCAGAACGAAAAAAAAATTCATATCTGAGTAACATGTTAATTATAAAAATCAGTATTTCATTTCATAAGTAATTTCTAAACACATGCGATACAGACTTCAGTGTATTTATGCGTAGAAGGAATTTGTATGATAAACATAGGATAAACATATACTGCCCTAGAGAGGGAGAGGGCCAAAGAGCTTAGCTTTGTCCAATCCCATTCACCATAGATGCACAGACATCACAGCGTATTGCAGCAAGCTCCCATCCCAACCACACAAATGCTCTCACACATCAAGCCACCGTGTATGTTCCTATCGCACCTGAAATGTTAGCAATTGAAAATGAGATGTCTGTTGAGCTGACATATTCACGATGTACGGAGCATGGAAAGAAATTAAAGATGCAAAAGCAATGTTGAAACCCATTTTTTTCCTTTTCAGCTGTTTGAACAGCAAGCTGCTTCTTTCTTTCCTACACTGATAATAAAAAGGAATTTTTAAAGAGAAGTGGTGAAGTTTCTTAGCTGAAAATGTTAATGATGAGAACAGATAAGAAGCAATTACTATTTTCCTGAATATGCTGGCAGTGATCTTGTTCCATGATTGTATTTATTATTT